TTTGTTTATTAATTTACAGGGAGTTCATCAGTCAGTGGCTTATTGTTATAAGCATAACTTAGTACTAAACCCACAAGGGTCAAACTGTGCTGGTCAGTGGCTTAGCTGTACAACATTTGTAAAATTTTAAAAAAGGTAATATTGGTATTCTGACTATTGGAATTTTACAGATTAGCCGAGTCTCTGTTGGTGGTTACTTTGGAGAGCTGGCACTTGTCACTAAGAAAGCAAGAGCAGCCTCAGTGTATGCTGTTGGCAAGGCCAAATTAGCATGTAAGTTCACTCTTTCATTTAGTAAATGAATTATTGTTCTTTGGATATTTCAGTGGTATTGTCTATGTTGCTTGTATTATGTCTTTCCTTAATGTGGTCATTGATGGTGAATATTGAGGCACTGCAAGTCAGAAAATAATAAGTGACAAAGTCAAATAATGGAGAAAAATGCAAGCATGGAGGTGATCAAAGCTACAGAGCTGAGGTTATCATATGGGGCTTTGAGCCTAATTTACAGATGCATAAGACACTATCTACACATTCCACAAATGCAAAACATTAACAATCAGTTTGTTCACTAACAAGGATTTTGGTTGTGAAGGCACCTATTCTTTCCTGCCATGCAATGTCTTATATATTATAGTTTAATGTTAGATATGAATCTAATACTGGCTATACGTATATTATGTGAAAAATACATTACTCTCCCATGTTTAAAATATACTAATTTAATATAAGTAACATTTGAAGAGGGCATACTGCATATTCTTGTCATTATCTCTCTTTCATGGCATCTATTTAATGGCCAATTAGCTATCCAGCCTAACTCTATTATTATTTTTAATTTTATTTATTATATTTATTATTTGTAGTCTGGAGATTAGTAGGTGCAGGTGTGGTTGTCAAGTGTACATCAACAATGCTGCCTTGGTTGTCTCTTACCACCTGTATCATAAACATTTTCCTTTTTTTTCTTGTCCTTCTGGTTTCAAACTTCTTGAAAACCAATATCCTCTAGGTACATATCACCTCAGAGAGGAGACGTGTTGCTCTTTCCGGGAAGTCATTTTACTTTTCGTACAGATTACAATACAGAACAACATTTGTTCTGGTGATGTAATAAAATAACAATTCACTTTTGTACAGTGAATGCATGGAGAGAGCGAGAGTACCAGCACATCCGTACAGGACAGAGGTCTAGCAGGAACTGATTGCACGAGCACATACAGTAAATGCATATCAAATACGTATACATGTATATGGCATTACCAGTAGAAATGGGGCAGAGTTAACCTGCATTAAGTGAGGGAAAACTTGCAAAGGTGCTCTTTGACTTCAATGGTTTGACTTACGATATTTCAACTTTTCAATGGTGCAAAAGCAATTATTTTGGATATGAAACTTATAATAATTGCCATCATGAAGGTGGAAACTTCATAATTTGTATTTATTTATTTACTTTTCAATACTGGTAGTATTTAGTTACAGTAAGTATTTATTTACTTATTCAGTGGCAGTAGTTATTTATTAATTTATTTATTTAGCATATCATATTCATATTTGACATGATATTTTTTGAGTTATGAGGGGTTCGTCGGAACGTAACTCCCATCGTATGTCAAGGAGCACCTGTATGTGTTATTTGAAATTATTTTTGGTCACTGTGTTTAAAATGCATTCATTACATTTCAGTCTTAGATGTGGAGGCCTTTGAGCGTCTGCTTGGTCCATGCATGGATCTAATGAAGCGAAACATTGAAGACTACGAGAATGAGCTTCTTAAGATTCTTTGGCTCCAAGGCTAACATCTCCGACATACGATGAAGTAACATCCAACTTTCTTAGTACGACAGTCACCAAATTATGCGTCTGAGTCTTGGGAATTGGAGGTACTGGTATTTGTGCTTCATTCATCATTCAGAAGGCAATGCTGATTAACAGATGATGGAGATGATCTTAATGATTAAGAGGAAAAAAAAATGATTGTTATAATTGCGTAGCTCATGTTAGCTTTGGGTTTCCCTAGTGTCCACGCCTTTGGCCAGCTGGCATGGCAACTGGGTTTGTCTGTGTCTTCTCTCTGTTTGCCAAGGGCTGCTTAATAGGAATAAAATGACAAATATTATCCTTATTTAGCAACATTGGATAGTTTTTCACTTGATTGATGACTGTGGTGATTAATTTTGTCTAATTTTAATTTTAATTAAAAGCAATTGTATTAAGTATCAATTCAAATCCGACTTCATTGCTTTAAAAGCTGTAATTTGCTTTACACTCTATAATTTATGTTAGTCAGGATGTGATTATTATAATCCATATATCCAGGAGAATAAAAAGTGAGTTTTTGCAGTGAAACACCTCGGTAATACAGTGGAATAATCCAATTAAAAAATACAAAATAAAATTGCACCGCAGAAACCTCAGTGTTTGATGGAGCTTCCTGTGATGCAAGTTTCTCGACACTCAGTGAGGATGTTGCCACCGGCACAGAGTTGTTTCACTTGTTAAATGCAACTTCTTGGACACCAGTCTTATTCTGAAGAGAAAGTATTCTTCCTCCTTTGTACAGATTATTGTCTTTTTGTCTAGTGTATAAACATTATTCATACATTTATTTAATTAATGTCAGTAACTTTATAGACTAGGACAATTCCCAGGTACTATTTTGCCCTTTGCAAGGTGCTAACACTTATGAATATACATAGAGTATATACATAAAGTATATACAGGTATATACATAAAGTATATACATACAGTATATCAAAACTCTTCTCAATGCCCTATCACAGATTTTTTAATAACTCTACTTACTCTGTTTTTCATGGGCCAAGAAACAAAAGTATTGTAAAGATACTCTCCTTTAATTACTCTGTATAGCTCATGCTGATTCCTCTTCAGTTCAATACAGGTATATGAGCAGGAGAAACTGTTATTAATTTTTATAGTTCAAGTGGATTAACTGCTGGAAAAATAAAAATATCTTCATTATTGTTTCTCAGGATTATTTTTCAGAGTAATTTTAGTGCCCTGCATCATAGTCAGTAGGCTGTTAAATGTTCCCTGGTAAAGTGGTAGAGTTGTCAGTGTACAAGGCCCCAGTTCCAGAACTTGATCTTGCATTCACCTTAGTTTATTATTATATTCATGAAAAAGTGCTAAACCTATTGGGGGTCATACTGCCCCTGTGGAATGGGGGATAGTCACTTTGATTTGAAGAAAGGGAGGTCGGCTCTGCTTTCTTGAATCAATAGATTTTCATCAACTTTGAACATCACCTTTAGCAATTAAAGTGCTCACATAAATGATTCAGGCAATCAATATGGTGCAGCTACACTATAAAGGAGCAGTTTTTCCTCATTTTAATAAGTTTGTTTCTGGAATCTAGCCGGCCTAAACCACACCTGTCCCATCAACCCAGCATCTGTAAGATTGACTTAACCTATGTTTTCTGAACCCCCTTTTGTAGTTAAAAGTGCATTGCATATTAATAGTTCCTTGCTTTAATTAATATTTTCTATCACCAGCTACATATGTCGAAAAGAACAAGAAGTTAGAGGATTACATGATTATATTAGCTACACAAATTATAATGTGTTTAATAAAGCAGTTACGTGTAGGTCAGTTTTCACTTGCTCAAAACATTGCCTGAGACATTATATGCACCATCATTTAAGAAGCACAGAGTAATAGATGCATTGTAGATCACCCGAAGACTAAGTTGTCTCTGGTTAACTGGATGGTTAGTCAAGTTCAGGCAGGCAGGTCAGTCTTAGTTATATGGTGTGGAGTTCATGGCTTCGCTCAGTTAGACCAGTTGGTCAGTGGGAAGGTCAGTTTTCACTTGCAACTATAAGCAGATGAAGAGACTGTGTTCAAGTAGGTGACCTAACATTTATTCATGAAGCTGAAAATATCTTGAAATGGAAAATATTAAGCTAATGAGGCAAAAATTTAATATTCGTATAAAGTAGGGGGCAGACTCGTTGCATTTAAATTTTTCCATAGATATAAGGTCACCCTGAGTGTTTCACACATTGTCTCATGACAAAGTACATTGCAGAGATTGGACAAAAAAAGTAATTTAATATTTTGAAGGGTGATTTGTGGTAATTATGAAATACTGATTTATTTAGTAGCCCAAATTTTAAGGCCTTGAGTTAATAAGTGTTTTATGCTTTCAACATGTATTCTTGTAGATAAATATTGCACTGAATTTTTTTTAAGTATCTGCTAGAAATGTACTGACTTTTTTCATAAAGCTAGATTACATTTATAAATTATCAAAGAGCAGTATCATAAAAATAAATGAAATTCACATTAAAAGACTCCAAAAAATCAGAAATTTAGTGCATCTTAAATATATTTTTTAAGAAGTCATTTCATTAAAGTTAAATTTTCTAGCTACAGAATTTTCTTTATTAGTGGCTCTTAATTATATATGATGGTAACTGAAATTTTTAAAATGAAATCAATTTATGAAATAATTACCGACATCTTAGTATAGCATAGATCTAAACAAGACATTTATATTATTAACTAGGTGTACAATCATGCAGTGGAAATATGAACAATGTAATTTGGGAATGTGTATGAGTATTTCTAATTTGAAAGATTTTTTTTTATAACTAGTGGTCATCTACCAAGGCAGAGTGACTCCAAAAAAGAAAAAAAAAAAGAAAACACAACAATGCTTTTTAAAATACAGTAATACATAATTGTTGAGCCTCATAATTGGTCACCAAAAGATTTTGAATCAAGAACTGCACTGTCCTGAACATTATAAATAATACCTGTATTTATTTTGTGGAATCCTGCCAAACTGATAGATGTCCATTGTCAGCCAGGATGGATTTTTTTTCTTTTTTCAGAAATATATATGGTGATACTGTGAAGCAGTATATTATTATTATTATTGCAGTCATGGGGAGAGTGCTAAACCCACGGGGGTCATACAGCACCTGAGGGAATGGGAGGCAGTCAGGCTCGATCCAAGGAAGGGGAGGGCCTGTCCAATTCCTTGGATCAAGAGCCCCTCACTGGCGCCAAGGAACCTCCCTTGAGGGGACTCTTGAAATATTGATGTTGTCAAAATGTTTTTCAAAAAAATTCTACATGTCACCAAACACCTCTATAGTTTGAAACATAAGCTATATTTGTTAATATAAGGAAGAGTCAGTAGTAATCTAGATGCCATTGTCAGACGATGTATGCAAAACCTATTCAAGTTGCTTTCTGGCAGGTGAGTAATGCCTATTGCAATACAGGTATTGTTCACAACTGTTGTTTACAGGAGTGACTGGATAAGCTCATCATCTGTGAGATGAGTCAGGCTGTGTCCAGAACCACCTGTAAATCTCTCCTAGACACCTCCACTTCCTCAGTGTCTGAAATTTCCTACTCTCGTCCATTATAAGTCAGCGAGAATTATTCGTTTCCTAAGTTATGTATAAAATATGCTCTCTGGCATTATGTTGGGCAAGAGAAGAAATATAAGAGCCTATATTATATTTTTTCACTGTTTCTTCTATAGAGCTATCTTCATTAAATAAAATTGTGAGATTAGTCTTGGTGGCTTCTTTCACTGCCCCTTCACATACTATATTTATATATACATTCAGAATATACATACATTATATACATACATGCATATATACATAAATACTCACAATATACATACATACGACATACATATACACATGTATGCTCAAATACCACAAACAGATAGTATATTTACAAACATTATATCTTAAGGCCAACAAGTGGCAGTCAAACCCAGGCACCAGTATCCCAGGCAGGCTCCAGTATTGACCCATGGTAACCTAAACAGACTACCAGTCTTCCTTGTTTTGGTTTTGTGGGTTTTCATCTCTCATACATACATATATACAGCATGGGAGCCTCTTACACTACCAAATATGCCATGAACAAGTGTATATACAGTGTTGTATAAGTATTGCAGCTATCTTACATGTACTGTAAAGTCATCTCCCACACTGCGATGCTCGGCATATGTACCCTCAGAAAACATACAAGTTATGAGGAAAACCTAAGATGTGAACTGAAAATTTGACTATATAGTATGGGCTATGCTAAATTACTAGAACAAAAAATGAATTATGGATAGCAAAATATTTTGCCAGCATTATGCATTTGTGAGTATAGTGTGTCATGGTGCATATATACATTTTTTTTTTTTTTAACAAGTTGGCTGTCTCCCACTGAGGCAGGGTGACCCAAAAAAGAAACACTCGCACCATTATTCACTTTATCACTGTCTTGCCAGAGGCACGCAGATACAGTGGGACCTTGGTACACGAACAGCTCCCAAATCGAACAATTTGGTATTCAAACGCTTTGTTCAGTAAAAAAAATTGCTCAGTAGTCGACTGCTTGCTCAGCACTCGACCAAACAAACACGACCTGCCAGAACTTCACTGTAAACTGTTTTGTGTTTCTTCACATTTTTTGGTGTTTTTTTATATCATTTGTATAAATAAGTCACCATGAGGCCTATGAAGATTAGTGATAACAGCCAACCAAAAAGAAAATTTATTTGGAAATTTTTTTTCAGTACTCTAACAGACTGACACTCGAACAGCCTTCTGGGATAAATTAAGTTTGAGTACCGAGACTCCACTGTACTATATTATTAAAATGTAGTACTAAACACAAGTCAGTCATATAGTGGTTTGCACTGTATGACCCAGTATTAATCACAGTGCCAGTGTGATCAGTACCTGGACTGACATTATATGTCACATGTTCTAGATATTTGCCTTTAGCACATCTCTAATCTGACACACGTCATATTCTAGACTGTAAACTGTCACTCTTATTCAAGATATTTTGGACAAAGTCAGAAATGTCAGCAGGTAACAATATTACTGCTAAATGAGTCATAAAAAAATTACGAATTTAACGATGGTTTGATATGGATAAAATGTTTACCATTACACAGCCTCATGAATACTATAACCACACACACTTACTGATCAGCACTGTAAGTGAGGTCATCATCTTTTTTGTTTATCAGTTGGCAGTGTTCTGACCTGGGTCATCATAAGATGATGACCCCACTCAGTGGCTCATTAGAGAAGTAATAAATGTTAAAGTAAGAGATTCCACTGGTGCTCTGGCAGAAGTGTAGTAATTCCAGCTCTGTGGCAAGGGCTCGGTGATTTCAGGTCGCAGGTGATTGTTGTCAGATAATCAGTTGTTCCACTTGCACTATGACAGACATGGCAGGTCACAGCAAATGGTGTCTACTGTCTGTTAATGCAAAAGGATCCATAATTACTTTTTTTTTTAACACACTGGCCATTTCCCACTTATTATTATTAAATGCCACAATGAAATCCTGTCATTACTTTTACATTAAAAATATGCTGAAAAAGATAATTGTTCCTTTAACTGTTACAATAAAATAGTCATTACTATTACATTAAAGATATGATGAAAAATATAATTGTTCTTTTAAGTGTTATGGAAAATCAATGAGGGTGAAAGACTTAGAGAAATTGCAAATTAACATGATCCGTCCTGACATGGATGTGTGAATAAGTAAAGATTACACATACTGAATTTTATGTTGTATGTCCTGATATGGATGTACAGTACAGTAATTGCCTTGATTTAATGGACGTTGCAAAGAATGGAGGAAAATCTGCAGGTTACAGAATTGTCCATTTTTGTTACTATATTTACAACTTTAAGTACGAATTATAAACATTTTCCCTTAGTGTTCTACCAAAAACACACATACTGTACATATTAAGACACCATCTACTTCCCTATTAGTCCATTAAAGCGAGGTCATTAAGCACTACTGTATATAAATATCGTTGGAAGTGTGCATGACAAATCCTAACAAGAAAGTATAAAGAAGTGGGGGTAGCATAAAATTATGTTGCGTCTTAACCCAGGGAATGTTTCTTCAATAAATTAATGGAGGGGTGGGATTAAATTATGGGGAATCAAATTCAAAATGGGAATTGACACAGTTACTTTTTGCTGATGATACTGTGCTTATGGGAGATTCTAAAGAAAAATTGCAAAGGTTAGTGGATGAGTTTGGGAATGTGTGTAAAGGTAGAAAGTTGAAAGTGAACATAGAAAAGAGTAAGGTGATGAGGGTGTCAAATGATTTAGATAAAGAAAAATTGGATATCAAATTGGGGAGGAGGAGTATGGAAGAAGTGAATGTTTTCAGATACTTGGGAGTTGACGTGTCGGCGGATGGATTTATGAAGGATGAGGTTAATCATAGAATTGATGAGGGAAAAAAGGTGAGTGGTGCGTTGAGGTATATGTGGAGTCAAAAAACGTTATCTATGGAGGCAAAGAAGGGAATGTATGAAAGTATAGTAGTACCAACACTCTTATATGGTGTGTGAAGCTTGGGTGGTAAATGCAGCAGCGAGGAGACGGTTGGAGGCAGCGGAGATGTCCTGTTTAAGGGCAATGTGTGGTGTAAATATTATGCAGAAAATTCGGAGTGTGGAAATTAGGAGAAGGTTGTGGAGTTAATAAAAGTATTAGTCGAGGGCAGAAGAGGGGTTGTTGAGGTGGTTTGGTCATTTAGAGAGAATGGAATCACGTAGAATGACATGGAAAGCAAATAAATCTATAGGGGAAGGAAGGCGGGGTAGGGGTCGTCCTCGAAAGGGTTGGAGAGAGGGGGTAAAGGAGGTTTTGTGAGTAAGGGGCTTGGACTTCCAGCAAGCGTGCGTGAGCGTGTTAGATAGGAGTGAATGGAGACGAATGGTACTTGGGACCTGACGATCTGTTGGAGTGTGAGCAGGGTAATATTTAGTGAAGGGATTCAGGGAAACCGGTTATTTTCATATAGTCGGACTTGAGTCCTGGAAATGGGAAGTACAATGCCTGCACTTTAAAGGAGGGGTTTGGGATATTGGCAGTTTGGAGGGATATGTTGTGTATCTTTATATGTTTATGCTTCTAGACTGTTGTATTCTGAGCACCTCTGCAAAAACAGTGATAATGTGCGAGTGTGGTGAAAGTGTTGAATGATGGTGAAAGTATTTTCTTTTTGGGGATTTTCTTTCTTTTTTGGGTCACCCTGCCTCGGTGGGAGACGGCCGACTTGTTGAAAAAAAAAAAAAAAAAAAAAACGTACAGTAATGCATGTTAGAAAATTAGGTCCACATCATGAAGCAGAATGTGGTAGGCACTGCATGCCATGTTTTACAAAATGCCTTCCATCACTTAAAGTGAAGTACAGTATATTGTAGAAGGAAAGATTTACACTACTACAAATAATAGAAACTTTATTTCTATCAAGTGGAACACAGTTTCTTATACAATTTAGGTGACTGACATACTACTATTACTACTACTTTAAAGAAGACCCCTAGATATGCATAGCATTTTGGGCAGCCTTAAAACTAAATTATAATTACAAATGTATGAGAGGGACTGGTAACCCCTTTTCCTGTATAAATTACTAAATTTAAAAAGGAAAAACTTTTGTTCTTCATTTTGGGTCACCCTGCCTAAGTGGGATATGGCTGGTTCATTAAAAAAAAAAAATGAGAATAAAAATAAATAGTTACAGGCTTGGGTTACATTCACACTGTACTTTGACAGACTTATATTCATGATTTAAAATTTCTGTGCTTATAGAGAGACTGAAATTCGAACAGGAACACCTGAACAAGAGATCATGTAAAATGTGTTTGGGCGCCTACCACATAAACAGGCACAGCATTTGAAAATTACTTGAAATATTGATACTATACCTGTCAACAACACTCTCGCTGTCACTGGTGGACATGTTCCCAAAAAAAAGTCAGATCATAACAAACCTAATACAGTGGACCCTGGTTAACGATATTTTTTCACTCCAGAAGTATGTTCAGGTGCCAGTACTGACCGAATTTGTTCCCATAAGAAATATTGTGAAGTAGATTAGTCCATTTCAGACCCCCAAACATACACGTACAAACGCACTTACATAAATACACTTACATAATTGGTCGCATTCGGAGGTAATCGTTATGCGGGGGTCCACTGTACATACTGTATTCTCAGAGACAAACAAATACTGCATCAAATATACATCTGTTAGTGATTATCATAATGCACAGTTATTATTGCAACATTATAACTTTTAACTGCTTGAGTGAGGGCCACATATGTGAATTAAGAGCTAGCGCCACAAGTGTGTACATAAAGGGTGCTCCGGGGTCGACACCTCCATGGCCTGGCCCATGACCAGGCCTTACCTGTTGAGTTAAGAGAGTGAGCAGCACATATGTGAGTTAAGAGTGATTACCAAAACATCAATGAACTATTACAAGTCCTATGTTCTACCTTAACTGTGTATCTTCAAAATTCAGTGTTAACAAACTTCTCGTGATGAAAGCCAATTAGTTTAACTTCAGTGTAGCTCAAGCATAAACCACTCTAGTTGAGGAAGACTAACTGTTAATGACATATATGGTAGTGAGGGGGGGATGCTCATACTTGAAACCAAGAAGCAAGAGAAAGGTGTTCCTTTTATATTCACTGTATACACACACACACACATATACAGTGGACCCCC